TGCAAACAATAAAGATGCAAAATATAAAGATGATGGATTTTTGTTCTGTGTTCAGTTCTTCACTATAGTACACATCTATGTTTTGGACAGTCAAAGCCCAAGTGCAGAGTTCATTGCATGAGTCAGTGAAGATGAAGCTGAGTTGCATTTGAGACCACAGGATATTGAGATACATGAAGGATACATTTGAACTCATGATCGTCATGGGTCTGCCTTTTGTGTATAAATCCCAATGTAGGTGATATATTCCTAAAGGGTCTTTTTTTAACTGAAATCTGGGGACTGTCTCATATTTTGATCATATTTTTATAATGAAGCTTGTGTGGCATCAGAGAGTAGAGCTACCAGTTCACTGGTTTGGAAAACTAGATAGATTGGAGACTGGAATGAGTAAGGAGGGGCTGAGAGAGGATCATTCTCTGTTTTAGATTGAGAAATGGAAGAAATACAAGTCACTAAAGGCTGCTCAACTGGTTTTCTGATCTTTCAGGTTCTTAGCCCCATATCTGACTTCTGAAGTTTTCTTAATAAAGATTACTCATGCCAGGTGGTGGTGGTGCATTTCTTTAATACCAGCACTGGGAAGAAGTGATAGGTAGATCTTTGTGAGTTTGAGACCAGACTGGTTTACAAGAACTGTTGCCAAGAGAGCCTCCAATGCCACAGAGAACCCTGCCTCAAAAACCAAAACAAAATAATAGATTACTTATATTAACACTTTATGAGGTTCCTTAAAAACATTGCTCAGTAAACTAAAAGGAATAAGTAAGGCTTCCAGAGAAACATTAAGTAATAGATTATTAACTTTATATTTTTTAAATTCTACTTAAATGTAAACAACAGCATTGGGAGATACTAGATAAAAAAAAGAAATTTCAAATTAAAGCAACCTATATACTTTAGAGATACTTTGACCTCGGAATAAAAACCAAGATATGTGTTACATCAGGGAAGAGGTTTTGCTTTTGTTTCCACGGGGGGGGGGGACCCAATGAACATTGAAATGGATATAGTTTATATTCAAACACTAAAAGATTTCTTAAAACAGACAGTAGTTCATCAGACAGCATTGCCATTCAATCTAAACTAATTCATGAGACTAACGGAGGTTTTTCATTGGATTAAATATAACTTGCCAAAACTAGAAATCTGCAAAGGTATGTTGAGGCAGGTTTTATTTTGTCTTTCAAAAGCATAATATTCCCCATAGAAGGAATGTAAAGACCATTGATGTCGTGGCATTTTAGAACTGTGTCTGCAAGTCAAGAGTATGTGTGTCACTGCGTTCTGCTTTTCTGGGACAGTTTTGGATGTCGTAATGGTACGACTATCAAATTTTTACATGTCTAGAAGACATTTATTTACTATGCTCATTACAATCAGGGTTCTGATGCACATATGTGTTTGACCATTAATACCAAAAATATAGTAGAATGCTTTGGAATTAGTGATGGTATGGCCTATATTTAGGCACATGAAAAATTGGGAAAAATAAAAATTTAAAATGTACAAGTCATTGAAAGCAAAGTTGTTAAAAAAATCTTCTCAAAAAATATAACTGGCGTTAAAAAAGTTCCTCACTAGCCTCTCTGTCCAATTTGAGGATAATCAACAATGTGTTAATTATTTCAAATTGTGTGAAAAGAAAGCTGAATACTTCATGTAATTTATCATTGGGCCTTAGGTGTTCCCCAACAAAAATTTCATAGTCTTTTAAATTCTGGTTTGAAAACAACTTTAAAATATAGTCTTTCTTGGTAGGATGGGTTCATTGTTTACTCACACAAAAGGACATATCATACTTCCTTGTGAACCTTCATGCATATTACCTGTGCTAGTCTGAATGTAATTGCATTCTTTAAGCTCATAGGGAATGACACTCCTATGACGTTGGTTTGTTGTTGTAGTATGGACTTATTGAAGCAAGAATGTCACTGGGTTGGTGTATACTGAGTTCTCATATATGCCCAAGCCATAAGCAGTGTCTCAGACCACTTCCCTTGAGAGTGGTCAATATGTGTAATGCCCAGCACCTTCTACACAGCCATGTCTGCCTGCATTCTACCATGTGGCAACATGATGATAACTTGATAAAACCTCTGAAAATCTAAGCCCCCAAATTAAATATTTTTCCTTTAAAAATTAGCAATAGCCATTGTGTAGTGGTGCATGCTTTTAATCGCAGCACCTAGGATGCAGAGGCAGGTGGATCTCTGTGAGTTTGAGACCATCCTGGTCTACAAGAGCTAGTTACAGGAAGCCTCCAAAGCCACAAGGAAAACATGTTTTAAAAAGTAAAATGAAATATTAGCCATGTACATGGTGTCTCTTCACAGCTATACCAACAAAAACTTGGTCAATATGTGATTCATTACCCTTTATAGTGGAGATTTGAGAAACCCTGACAAATTTCCATTATACAAGATCATATTATAGGCTTGTATACTTGCTCATCATGTGTTATTAATAGAAAACCTAGTATTCAATTATAGAATCCTATCTATCATATACACTTTCTGCTCCCCCAGCAGGATGAGGCCTTCCATAGGGTGTCATCAGAGTCTGCTGTGTCCTTTGGGATAGGGCCTAGGCCCACTCCTGTGTGTCTTGATTCAGGGAGTATCCCTCTATGTGGAATGGGCTCCCAAAGTCTACACCTATGCTAGGAATAGGTACCGAACTATTACTGGAGGTCCGGTAGATTTCTGAGATTTTCTCAATGAAACCCATGTTCCTGGAGTTTGGATCAGTCCCATGCTGGTATCCCAGCTATCAGTCTGGGGAGCAAGAGTTCCCCGATGTTCAGGTCATCTGTTTCTGTAGGTTTCACCAGCCTGGTGTGGCCCCCTTTTCTCACCACTCATCCTTCTCTGTAACTGGATTCAAGTACAGTTCAGTGATTAGTTGTGGGTGTCTGCTTCTACTTCCATCAGCTGCTGGATGAGGGCTATTGGGTGGCATATAATTCAGTCATCAATCTCAATATCAGGAGAGGCATTAAGGTAGACTCTCCTTTTTTGCTTAGATTGTTAGCTGGTGTCATCTTTGTAGATCTTCAGACATTTCCCTAGTGCATGATTACTCTTTCATGTACATACAATAACAGCTATTTACCTCATTAACCCCCGCCCCAACACCCTCAGAGCCTGAAACCCAGCCCCTTGGCCGCACTGGGCTCTCTTCTTCTCTCCTGGCTTGTCCCGGTCCCTGCCTGCCTCCACCACTGTAGTAGCACCCGATCCATCCATCCATGCAAACATTTATTTATTTATTCATTCATTTATTCATCCGTTTATTCATTCATGGACTCCCAGGTAGAAGCCCACACGCACTTGGGCAAGCTCATGAATTAACTTCCCACATCCACCATGCTTGAATCCTGGCCATTCCTAAACT